CAAAGAAGCTAACTCTTCCGGTTGCAAAGTGCCGCAGGGGAACTGTGTGGTCGGCTGGTCCCCCCACGAATCCACCCAGCAGTGATCCACACACTTAGCCGACACAAATTTGACAACCCCTTCTTCCCACAAGATGTAAGGGTCATGGGTAAACAACCAGGGACTCCCCAGTACTAAGTCGAACTGCGATTTAGGGGTGACAATGAAGGACCTGGATTCCCAATGATCTCCCGCCCCCAACCGCAAAGCCATAGTCTCGTGCGTACAAGGTTCCATGGGTGCCCCATCCATCTGAGTAAAAATGATGGGGGACTTCAAGGGGACTATCCCCGCTTCCAGTGCAACTAACACTCTAGGGCTGATGAGATCCCTCCCACACCCAGAATCAATCAACGCTCTTACCCTAACGTGGGTTCCTAGGAGCGGATTCATTAAGGAGACAGTCACGAAAAATAGGGAAGGGGTTTCTCTCACCACCTTGGGCGCAGCATTAGAATGGCCTTGTCGTTTTGCGCCTCTCACAACAGGCCGTTTTCGTTTTCCGCCGGTTCAGCCACCAGCTCTTCTTCAGACTCGGTGGCAGCCGGTTCATTTTCCCCCGAACCTTGGGCTGCCTGCAGAGCTTTGGAGAAACGCGGTTTGGCCATCCCCTTCTTCCCCGACAGCGGTGTCTTCGGGCTTGGGGTAGGCGGCTTGTCCTTGACTTGACGGCTGCCACAATCCACAGCGAAATGCCCCTTCTCCCCGCACTTGAGACAGAGCCCCATCTTCATCCGTAGTTCCCTTGCCGATTCCGACAGGCGTTGAGTCTTGGGTTTAGAGGCACCGACAGCGGCGGGTCTGTTGGTCGTAGCAGCCAGGTCGAGTTTGATGGTGGTGAGCCGGTCTTCTGCATTTTCAGCTTCTTGGGTCCAGGCCATCAGGGAGACAGGGTTGACAGTTTTCAGAACCGTTTCTCGGATTTCTGCGTTGAGACCCAAGCGATACATCTCAGCCAATATATGATCAGGGTAGTCTCGGAGCTTAGCTGCTTGCTTGTGGAATTCCAGAGTGTACTCGCGAACCGACTTCTTGTTCTGGCGGTAGGTCCGGAGGAACGCTTTAGCTCTTTGACTCGCGTTGACATCTTCGAATCTCGCCCTCAGCGCCCACATGAATGCTCGCAAATTCAAAAGTTCCGGACCGCGGTCGTTGTGCAGTCCAACATACCATGTGGCGGCGTCTCCTTTCAGTCTTGCCGAGATGACATCAATGAGACCAGCTTCATTTCGGAACAGGTGTCGACTCTCTTCTACGAATTTATGCACCCTCACCGTGAAGAAAGCGAGTTCATCCGGGTTGCCGTCGAAGGTAGCCTCCAGCAGATCCTTGGGTCTGGGTCGTGGAGGCCTCACCAACGGGCCCAGCTGCCCCGGAGCTCCCCTGGGAGGGAAACCCGGTACAACCGGTGGCCCTGCTGGTATTGGCCTCAGCGGCGGCGGCAGACCCGGCACCGGCGGACCCCCTGGCATCGGCGGCTGCGCAGGCACTGGCGGAGGCGGTCTCACCGGCTGCTGGACAGGTACCTGCTGCGCGGGAACTCCCGGTGCTTGCAGCGGCTGAGCAGGCATCGGCGGCGCGGGAAATCCCGGTGCAGGAGCAACTTGCAACTGCGCGGCGTGTGCGTCCAGGAAATTGGCCATTCTAACGTCCAACATTCCCGGCAGGCCTTCCATCACATCCTGGAATGCCCGCATTAAGTCTCTCACCGAGTCTTCCAGTTCTGCTAGACGTTCCCCGGTAGTTTCCTCCGGGATGGGGTCCCGAGGGCGATAATCCGGGGGTGGGTCGTAGTCCTCTTCCGTTTGGAAGGCTCCGGTGCCCTCCTCATCTTCTGCGTGACCACGCGGTCCCGACGGCTCGAACATCCACTCCTCGAGGTCCTGCTTGGGGCTCCCCTTCTCCGAGGTAGACCCAGGTTCCGGGAACAATCCCTTGTCAAACAGACTCTCACGTAATCCGCTCCCCCGACGGGAGTACACCTCACGGGTGCCTTGGGTGTTGTACATAGTCCAATCATCCTGCTGGTGAGTCTTCCGCGGACCCCATTGCGAAGGGGTCGGAGGCGGCCAAGACAGATGTGCAGGCAGGCGGGGAATCGTTCCCCCCACGGCACCCTCCATCGAGGCTGCAGTCGTGAACACCAAAGACGCGGAGGTTTGTGGGACCGATCCCGAGTCCCCCTCCGTGTTAGGTAGATTTCCCTCAATTCCGCTCATGATCTTGTCAGATTCGGAACGATAGGAAAAGGGAGTTCTAACAATATGTTGGATCCCCAAGCATCGAGAATAAATCCACGTTTTAAAGAAAAGCAAAATTTATTTCAAAGCGTTGAAGACATACTCAAACACGTTCTTTGTTAGAACTGGGGATACACAGTTAGGTCAAGCATAATAAAGGAACTTCAAACAGATACAGATCCAATGAATATCTTTCCCGCTGGCGGGCTAAGGAAACGGTTGCGCGCCCAGTACATGGGAACCAGGCAGAACATCAGACAAAACACAGGTGCAGTAGTCCTGGGAAAATCAATAGGCAAGCATTACAGCATCTTCTCCCCCACACAGCAGTCGTGAACACCAAAGAAGCGGAGGTATGTGGGACCGATCCTGAGTCCCCCTCCGTGTTAAGTAGATTTCCCTCAGTGCCGCTCATGGTCTTGCCAGATTCGGAACGATAGGAGAAAGGGAGTTCTAACAATATGTTGGATCCCCAAGCATCGAGAATAAATCCACGTTTTCAAGAAAAGCAAAATTTATTTCAAAGCGTTGAAGACATACTCAAACACGTTCTTTGTTAGAACTGGGGATACACAGTTAGGTCAAGCATAATAAAAGAAATTCAAACAGATACAGATCCAATGAATAGCATTCCCGCTGGCGGGCTAATGAAACGGTTGCGCGCCCAGTCCATGGGAACCAGGCAGAACATCAGACAAAACACAGGTGCAGTACTCATGAGAAAAGCAATAGGCAAGCATTACAGCATCTTCTCCCCCACACAACCTCCAGCAGTTATCTTGTGCATTCCAACGCAGGAGCAGGATGATAGAAAACAAGCCGGGTGCAACAGGGAAAGGATATGTACACAGAGGTCACAGAAAACAGAATGGCAGCTTGCTGACACTTAACTGGTGGGCTGGCATGGGGCTTCTCCACATTCTCATTTTCCTCGCCTGTAAATTCCTCTCGGGTGGGTGCTTTTCTGTTCTGTAGGTGTTCTTCCCTCTAGTGGTCAGTTAGATATTACATCTGTTTATGTCCGGCATAAAAACCTGCAGTATAACCTAGGGAAATAGGAACCCCCCCTTCCCAAGAAACAGGAGCTTGCCAGTGGGGAAAACGAGTATGTGGAGAAGCCCAATAGTGGTGGAGGTCTAAAGGACAACTTGGTGATCCGGGGAAGTCAGCACAGATTTGTCCACAACAGGTCCTGCAGGTCAACCTCATTTCCTTCTTTGATCAAGTGACAAGTTTACTGAATCGAGGGAATGCTGTGGATGTTGTTTACCTGTAACAACAAAGTAAAGTCTTTGACAGGGTACCCCATGATGTTCTGGTAAACTAGAGGACTGTGGACTGGACTCTAGGATAGTCAGGTGGATAGGGAACCACACTCAGAGAGTTGTTGTCAGCGGTATTTCATCTGAATGGAGGGAGATGTCCAGTGGGGTGCCACAGGGCTCAGTTCTGCCCCCAGTACTTTTCAATATTTTTATAAATGATCAGGATGAGGGTGTGGAGGGGCTACTCATTAAATTTGCAGATGACACCAAATTGGGAGGGGACAAAATGCAAAAAAATGCTGGCCAAAATCACAAAAGTAAACAAAAAAGTATACGAAAATAATAATATTTATAATACCGGGTTCAATAACACAATAACCATGTAACAGGATAAAGCCAAGGTATTCATACAAGAAGCAACATCAGTGCAGAGAAACAAAGTCCCAAAAATGTCAATGTGTCTCACTCCTGTTGTATAGTAACTCCATAGTCCAACTTGACATACATTCATCATAGAGCGGACTCATATAGTTTATAAATTATAAGGAAATTCCTTATAATCTTGAAATCCATCAGCCATAGAAATCTTGAAATCACTAATCTGGCTTCTGTATGTGCTGCTACTGAGATTGGGTCCCACCATAGCCTATTGATTTTTTTTTGGGGGGGGGATATTCGAAACGTGGCAGCTTGCATCCTGATCACGCATCTCTATGGCCTATGGATTTTAAGATGGCTTGCACCCCTCTCCCTCCCCTCCTGGCAGATTTAAAGGGCCCTCCAACTGATCAGCGGACCACATGCTCCCCACGATCAGCTGAAGGGCCCTTTAAATCTTACAGGAGGGGAGGGGAGGGGAGGGGTGGCCAGCATCGGCTGGGCTTGGGGGCGGATTGGAGCAGACATCAAAATTGTGGCAGCTCCACCAGAATTTGTTTTCACCCCCCAAGCCACAAAATCCGGGCTATGGGCCTGACAGCACCTGAGTCTTGTCTGGATTGATCTTCAGTTTATTAGTCTTCATCTAACGTGTTACCGTCTCTTCAGGATTTCCACAGACCCGCCTGAATCAGCTCTGAAGGAGACACAGAGCCGGGTGTCATCTGCCTATTGTGAGCACCTCAATACAAACCCCCAGGCAGCCTCTTTCAGTGTTAGATGGCATAGGAGGGGTGAGAGGGAGCCCTCCCTGGACGCCATAACAGACCTGAAGCAGCACTCCCTCAGCATCCCCTCCTGGAATTGGCCAGTCAAGTAAGAGTTGAATCATGGGAGCATGGTGCCCCCCCACACACATACTGAACTTGGCCCCCTCCTCTCCAGAGGGATGTTGTGGTCAAAAGCTGCCAAGGGGTCCAGGGGAATCAGCAGAAGCGCCCAAATAGTTTGTTCAGTTTTGGATGAGGAGGATCTCCATATTTATCTCTGAGGCCTCTGCCTTGTATCTCTTCTCCAGGGATTCACACCTTGCAGGTGTTCTCTGGCTGCGAACTGAATGGGGATGATCCTACCGGAGGGTTTGTGAAGTACGGCTACAATGGGAGGGACTTCCTCAGCCTGGACCTGGCGACTTTCACCTGGATCGCAATGAATGCAGAGGCCAAGCCCATCAAGAGGAAGTGGGACGCCGAGCGGGACCAAGGGAAAGTCTGGGGGCATTTCCTGAAGGGAGCCTGCGTGGACGGGCTGCGCACCTATCTGCACTATGGGAAAGAGGCCTTGCTGAGGATCGGTGAGGAGGGGAAACAGGGTGGCAGGGGGAGGGTAATTTTGCACCTCCCTCACACCTCAACCATGGAAGCAGGCATGCAGGGGAAAGAAATGGAGGAATGCGCTTCAGAGAACTGGTGGGAGTTGATAGTTTTGTCTGCTGTCATGAATGTGTAATAGAGGCCCCGGTCACATGGGCCTGAAAACGCGGGGGGGAGGCGTGGCTATTTGCGGCAGCGCAATTAGCCGCACAACAACGCAATCAGACGCATCGGCAGCAATCTACGGTTCCAGCCCTCTGCGTGTGTGCTGCAACGCAGACGGCCAGAGGGGAAAAGCCACGCCGGCGCAATCACGCCAAGGGAGTCCGGAGGCAGCCCGTGGCGAACTGTTTGCTACTACCTTCAAGGAGGTATTTTTTTAACACGCATTTTCAGCAGCATGCCACAGGTTGGCCACGGGTGTGCTCCACTTCCCAGATGTTGTGGTGTGATTGTGGCCGGAAAATCCACCACCCACTCGTGGCTCTCCCGCGGCAAATTCGCCGTGTGAACGGGGCCAGAGTTTATTTATAAATCAGTTTTCAACTAACCCCCCCCCCCCAAGGTCCTTTACAACCCTATTCGCTGCATTTTTAAATTTTGAACGTGCTAAAATCAATAAAATGCAGTGATCTGTACATTTCCCTGCAAGTAGAAAACTAGCAAGGAGAGGACTGGACTGCAGCCCTTTTCACTGCACCTCCTCTTGCAGTGGGGCAGGATACTCTAGGGCAGTGATGGTGAACCTTTTAGAGACCGAGTGCCCAAACTGCAACCCAAAACCCACTTATGTATCGCAAAGTGCCAACACGGCAATTTAACCTGAATACTGAGGTTTTAGTTTAGAAAAAACAACTCACACATTAACATCTTTTGTCTTAAAAGAAAAACACCATAACAGAGCTTTCAGTGATACAACGTTTTATTGAAAGGTAAAACTTTGCATTTGGTATGCTTTTGAACAATTAATGTGATTTTTGCTGTAGTATGCATGCTGATAATTTGTCTAACCTTGGCTCATACTTTGTAAGTTTGAGAGAAACACATGCAGCACTTAGGTAATCTGTGAGTCTGTTTCTGGTGTCAGATTTGATATAATTCAAAGCTGAAAACAGCTGCTCACAAGCATAAGATGATCCAAACAAAGTAAGGAAAGCAATCCTTCTATCTTCTCAAGTGTTTCACACAGGTCATAGAATTTATTTTTCCAGATAGAGCTTTCTTGAAATTCCAATAGCTCCATTTCCACATTTCCTAAATCTAACCAGTGTAAGCAGGAAAGATCTAGAGCCTTATTGGAGGCCATTATTCAGCAGCAGCTTGTCCCACCAGGAAGAGGCCAGGAGGCG